ATACTTTGTAAAATTTTAAGCTTTGAAAGTATTTTATCTAACACACATACCAAGGTCTATCTACTATGAATATAAGCTTTGTTTATCAGAATACCAGAGCAGAAGCCTCCAGCTCATTAAGCTCCAATGCATTAGAGTATTTAGGGATGCTGGTGAGCTTAAGCATATGAGTAGCAACACTGACACAAGGCAGGACAGACTCCTTTTGGGAGATATGAAACATCACTTTATCATGCCATTCCAATTATCTCCAGCACTTATAGTAAGCCTCCAGTTATTCCATTTTTGTTACACAAATAAACTCTCAATTTATAAAATAGGTCATTGCAAATTTTATGTCCTGGTCTAAAAACAGCAAGGCAACTGGAGAAATAAAATTGTATGTGATATATAGTGGGTTAACACAGATGACCTCATGGCTTTTTTTTTTAACATAAACCTACCCCAATCCTAATGAGTACATATCTGCATCCCTACTTTTAATATTTCAAAAAGAAATAGATCATTGCTAACATTTCTCAACCAGAAAAATGTCATCATGAAATACTAAAATTATAAGCAGAGTCACTGTAGTTCCCCTCATCATGTTAGGCACGTTTCCCTCCTAAGACAAACACTGTTATTCAACATATCAAGTCACCCATGGTTTGTAAAAAGATACATAAAATTAAGAATATACCACTGAAGTGTTTGTCTCCTACAAATTACAAATTTAATAGGATTTATTTATTAAGAAAAAAAACCCCACAGGTGGAATTTCAGACTTCTAGTCATTCTCCTGTGCTCATCTTCTAAGGTACCAGCAAAATACTCAAAATCATGCAAGCCCCTGATTAAACCAGGAAGCAAATCTGCATGCATGCAATTACAGTGTCTGCAAGGGCAGACGCAGATGACAGTAATTCATACTCTAAGAAATGGGCTTGTGTATTTGGCAGATTAACTGTTCTGTATTCCATTGCTATGAGGTATGGAAACTGTACTGTGAAAGAACCATTACTCATTCCCTCAGCTCTGAGCACGTACGTCTACCAAAGGCAAGCCAGGCTGGAGAGGGTGGGGGGCAAGGGCTGGAAAGAGAAGAGTCTACACGTTTCAGATTAATGCTTCTCTTGAATGGTTTCTTTTATTCCATTTCCCCCACTTTTTAAATTAGCAAATACAGTAGGCTCAGAAGGGGAAATGAGCAAGGGGAAGAGGGAGAGAGGGGAGGGAAAGGGAAAAAGCAAAAGCAGCCAAAACTCTCCAACTTGTTCATTAGGGGTTTTGTGTTTGAACATCTGAATGAATCATGTGTCTGTTTTTCATTATTCTCCATATGTATTTGTTCTTTGCTTTTTTCAGAGATTTCTGGCCATGTTGTCATGACTGTGCTTATTTTGTTTTTTATATTGTTCTGTTACAGAGTGATGGTTACTTCTCCTCTGCCTCACTTAGCAGCTATGCCCACCAACAAAGAGCAATCTGAAAATGAGAGGTTATGTCAAAATGTGTCCCTAGTGAACTCCCTTGCAGCCTATATGATTACTTTAGATCTGACTGCTTAATTCAGACCAGGGAGAAATCCTGAGATAACACTGCTCTTTATCATGACCGGAATGCTGTGGGTATCTTTTTAAAAATCTGAGGAATGATGGAGAATGACTTGAAGTACATCACTGAATGCCTTCCTCCTTTCTCCAAAAGGAAAACTAACACTTCTTGCTAAACAGTAACCTGCTTTAACAGATCAGCTGTTACATGGAGGTTTTGAAATCATTTCCTTGCTAAAATAAATCTTTCTACTTTCAGCTTTACTCTATAACTTGGTCAACACATAAATGACACTGAAATAAATTCTTAATTCACTAATCATGTGATAATTTCTATCATCACATTTAATACACCCTACTTCATTGGATACACATCACTGGATGATGTGCTCATTTAACAAGATAATCTCTTACTTGGCAGAAAGTGAGTGACACCCAAAAGACTGGAAAGGAGCAAACAAATATTGTGCTTTTTTTCCTTTTTTAATGGTTGAATACTGAGTTTTGTTTGGAGGTTTTTTGGGTTTGGGGGGAAAGGGGAATTGTGTTGTGGAGGCAGGGGGTGGTTGATGGTAGTTGTTTGTTGATTTTTTGCTGGGTTTTTCTAGGGACTAGATGTAGACTCCACTGTTTTAGAGACAGTTTCAGCTTCAACTTTCAGCAGATAGGAGAAAAAAAGGTCTGGATGAAAATGCTGTGAAGTAAGTGCCAAACTGATTAGCAGATCCAATTTAAAAAATAAGTTCTCAATGGCTCAGTATTGCACTACCTGGTGTACTGAGTGGGTTTCCTCAAAAATCTTCCCCAGGTCTGTTATTATTTGCTCTTTTCCACATTATCTTGTCCAGTGGATTAGAGAAGCCATTTATTAACTGTGAAGAGGACACTAAAGAGGTAAGTGCTGCAAGCACTCTGGAGGCTTAAGATTATACTCAAATCATAGTAAATTAAGGAGACCACAGGAAAAAAATAGGACAAAATTCAATACAGACAAATGAAAAGTTCTAGCTCTAGGAGGGAATAATCAACAACCCAGAGCAGAGCATGCAATAAGGAACGCATGGCTGGCAGCAGCACTGGAAGAGAGTAACAAAACCAGGGTTTGCACAGAATCTCTCAGCATAAGCCAGCACCATTTTTCTCATGCCTGTGCCTCAGAGATGCATCTATATTTTAAATACATATAAAATTATATGTATGTATACATCAACAAAGAGGAGACTGATGTGGTCACAGAGAAGACATATGAAACCCCTCTATACTATTTAAAATTATCAAATTTAGGCCATCTAAAAAACTATGGCCAGCTCCAAGTTCTTCAGGTATGGAGTGAGCTGATTAGAGAGACCAGCAAAGTACATCTTATTGAGAAATTTAAAACAAATTGTCTTTAAGGAAAAATTTAAAGGACAAGTGTTTAGTCTAAGGAAAAGATAAGGCAGATGCAGATCAGTCTTCAAATATGTTTGATGCAAAAAAGAAAGGAATAAACTGCTCTATGTGTCCACTGGGGATAAGAAAAGAAGCAATAGACTTAAATTACATCAAGAGAGATTTGGATTAGCCATTAGGAAATGCTTCATTTTAGTGAGGACAGGGAGTGTTATCACAGATTGCCTGAGAAGCTTGAGGAATCTCCATCACTGGAGGCCTTTGAGCAAAGGTTACAGAAATACCCCTCTGCAGTGGGTCAGAGCTGATCCTGCCCCAAGGCAGGTCCTGACCTCTTCAGGTCCCTTCCACTTCTAATTCCTGGGAAGGTTTTTTGGTTTTTTTGGCAGCCTTACTGAAGAGAAAGAAAATTGCACCCAGCATTTAAAGCAGTAAAACATCTATTATTTTTATGCCATAAAGCTTACTGTTAATAAATCCAATTATGTTTATGATCTTTTAATGGCACTGCTTATGTCATAAAGATCCATCTTTGAAAATAGAAATAGATATCTCTGCCCTACAGTATAATACGACAGCATGAAAGCAAACTAAGAGAAAATACAAACTCATTGTTATATGGCTCCTATAAAAATGATCTTAAAGCTGACTATAACATAAAGAACATTAAACCCAGACATTTTTTTTTTTCTCAAAATTCTACCATTCATATTCTTTACAGTATTTTCACTTCACATTTTGTGTTTCACAAACAGATACACTCCTTTCCTTGTTTACCACTGGCAATGGGAGCAAAGGAAGTTCTGCTCACAGGGGTATTCCTTTATAATGTAATCCTAAAAAAAGGAAAAACAACACCAAACCCTAAACACAATGAGGTCCTGTTCCTGGTGCGATATTCAAAGAAATACTGAGTGATGTTATCAGGATTCTGCCAGAAGAGTGCCCCAAGGAAATCAAACACACATTCAGGCAAAAGCAAATGCATAACAGCGCAACTTATGACAATGGCCCATGACCAACTGGGTTGGTAGACTTTTCTAAGTCTAGAACTGCAGTCTTCCAACTTGCTTTTCTCCTGAATAGCTAATAAATGCTGTTTCTGGCAGGCAATAGATAAGGTCACACAGTTCTACAAATCTCAAAAACATCTTTGGCACGGGTGGCAGGACTTTTCCCCCATCTCATAATTTCCCCAGAATGCTTCTCTGCTGCTTCGCTTCACCCCATATCTGGCCACTCACAAGACAGTCCTAAACTGCAATGCCTTTTCTTTTTACTAATACATATAGAAATGCACTCCAGGATGTGTTTCTTTTCAGGAGTATCCACTCTTAACAAATCTTAATATTCCAAAAGTATTCTGTACACCACTAGTGGAAAGCTACAGAATAATTTTAAGGCACATTTTCTCCCCCATAGACTCAGTGACACTGCAGATTCATAAATGAGTAACAATTCTAGTCCTGAGATAGTACTATACACGTTAGTCAATATTTTCCTCAGCAAATATAGCTACACACAAAAGAAAAAAACATGCTATATTTCATTTAAAAATATTTTCATACATTAGCAGAAAAATTAGGAACATAAAACTGGAAGAGGAATTATTTCTATATCTTGGTATTTCAACTTGCAGATCTAATTGTGTCATAAAAAATATTTTCTTCTTCTATTAGCATATGCCAAGACTTCAGAAAAATGTAAAAATTAGACTAGGTTTTCCTTGAGAAACTTTTCCCAAAGGTTTCTCAGTTTTATATAGGAAATCAATTTGCATCACTGATGATATCATTCAAATCAGACAGCACTATGTGGTTAGAAGGCAATTTACTCTTCTGCCGAAGCAATTTGATACTTGTTCTGATTTGTGATTTTCATTTTGTTTGTTAATGAAAAAAATTAATGAGCAATGTTACTGGAAGCACAACTCAAAGCTTTGGCATTATTAAATATGTTTGTAATATACTGTGCATTATGTTGATTGCACAGTTGGAGCCAGAGCTTTCACAGTCAAGCCACCAGTCAATCATTCAAACTGATAATGAACTCACAGGGTGGACACTTTGCACGTACCTTTGCACTGATTCGTGTTTTTGTCAAGAATTGCCTTTGTGGATACAATTTTCCCATACCTATGGAGAAAACAGAAATCAGAGGTACAAGTTACTATATTTTAGTAAAGTACGTAGTGATTGTTGCATGCATATATAACACATATCCTAGGAAGGGGTCTAGAGCTCTTGAAAAATGTTCATCTGATATCCTGAAGAGATCCCTTATGCCATTAGCTCAAACACCTTTAGAGTTCCCCAAGAGCACTTGCCACAGCCTGTCCATCTCTGGTCCATGCACTGCCAGCATAAATGCCAATCACAGGAAAGATTTTAGGACACTAGTAAAGAGGCTTCTTTGACTAAATTATTTTAAGTTTGTTTAGTTTAAATACAGACAGACCACATTCCTTCAGGATTAATGAAAATGCAGGAATTATGGTCACTTTTTATACACAGGCATGTACAGTTGTGCTCATGTGTGCATCCATGTCTATATACACTCTATCTAGTTTGGATAAACAGAACCTTTGAGGTTTGTGTGCATCTCCCAGCTCTTGCCAAGATGAATGTTAACATTAATTTGAATTTATATCACCTCCCATAGATAGCATGGCACTGCACTGCAATTTGATAGACTTAGTACAGTGAAGAGGGAATTCAGGCTGCTACAATTTGTTATATAAAGCAACTAGACCATAAAATAGGTATCTGTGTTTACCTCACAGAGATTAAGACTAAAAATGCAGACTTAATAGTAAGTATCACAAAATCTTGGTAAAAGATCACAGATGATGGCATTTATAGATGAGCATAAGATATCAGAAGGATAAGCAAAATAATTTTATTTCTCAAATCTGTGATACGTCTTGTTCTTCATTGAAGAGAACTTCCCTTAAAATGCCCTTTCCCACATTTTTTTAAAAAGCATTATTGATACTCTGATATATTGGGCATTCATTTAGAGAACTGTTCCATGAAACACAAGTTTCTACATCCACAAAGGACATATTACTATGAAAGAATTAAGAAAATTATGACTTCTAATGCCAAAGTAACACCCATGGAAAACAATCAACATCAATTATAAACCACTGAAATGTATGGTATACAAATACTTATTTGGTTAATCTTGATTAAAAGCAATATAAATTTGGTGTTAGAGGCTTCTATTTGCAATCCAGAAACAAGAACGTGGAAAACCTGTTATTCCCTTCTCTGCCTCAGGAGGAAATCCATGTCTCTTTTCTCATACAGAAAAGAATTCAAGATGTCTAAGGGCAGCTAGAGTACTTCATCACGTATTCAAGGACACACTCTTCTTTGTCCTATCGGTCTGTAAACATACTGAGAAAATCAAACCAAAAAAAAAAAAAATACCAGACAAAGAGGGAATGGTACCATAACTCAGAGTGTAAAAATTACTCTTGGGTTTCAGTCTGGAATCAAGAAAACACGTAATTACCTCATGAAGGGGAGTAGCACGATAGGGCAGACTGAGAATGGTCTAACTAAACATACTCTTCAATATCAGCAACAATTTGAGACAAAGTTCTCAGCTGAAGTTTCCATATTGCAAGTGACATTTAGCTACTCAGCTTAAGATAAAGGGCACTGCTTCTGCATCACTCACGAAAGCAGAGTAAGGAGAGATGGAAAGTGAGACTTTCCATTTCACTGTTTTTCCTTTGCCTAAGAATACACAAAAGCATTTGTTTCCATTTGCCTTTCATTTGAGGAGGAAAAGCATGTTTTGCTTCATTTTGTCTCGGTCTGAAATCAGTCAGGATGAGGCGGAAAAGCTGACCTAAGAGTATTAAAAATTTGTGTAAACTAAGTCAGGCCCCAATTCAGATATCTTTTAGAAACCAAAAAAGTCAAACAAGCCTTCCTTCCCTTCACTTCTCTCCACCTCCTTTTTTTTTTTGCTGACTCTGTAAGTCAGAAGGATTTTGGTCTCTGAAGGAAGAAGCAATCTGTTGTTCACTGCACTATGATGGGTACATGGGCAAGTAGCTGAGAATCTATTTTGCCACAGCTGGCTCCACTCCAACCAAAGACATAATAGATTTAATGTTAGCCGTGAGATCCCATGCTTTTCTAGCCTCAGGTGTTTCCAGACTCAGGGCCTTTATACTCACTCATGTTCCACTTTATTTTATAATTCTTCATGGTAGTATCTAAAGTTGACTTTCGCCTTTAAGATATTGGAGCACATGTCTTCAGAAGGCAAAGAAAAATTCAGTTCAGTGATTTATGGCTGTTCGGTGGGTCAACCCACCCAGCAGGAAATTTGGCCCATGCAGTGCATCTTCATTTATTTGATTTACTTAGATTTATTATCAAGTACATGAAAAACATGCAAAAACACACCTATCTCATACCGTAATGCACCTCTGACAGATATATGGCAAAAGAATCCAACAAAAATCAGTGGCTAACCCACAACAACCTCAAATAAAACACAACTCCTACCTAAACTTCCGCCAATAAAAACCAACACCCCACCTCCATTTCAGTCCAGCCACTCCTAATGAATTGATATGTTGTTCCATCCAAGTCACAAGAGAGCTAGAAGTTTACATTTCTTGCCAGCAGAGACAGGCATTTGTGGTTCCACTGCTTTTATTACAGATTTCACAGAGTAATTTGCTGTGTACTGCGATCCTGCAAACACTGTGTTACACGAGAGATTTTACTCACAGAATTCTGTTCCGGTCAGGAAATGCTTCTCCCCACATTCAAAGCTATGTGCACACCTTCAGGTTTGCAAAAACAAGACATTAGAGTGGTAAGAGGCACCACAATAACAAACACTGTTATAGGCAATTAGCCATATGTCGGCGATTTAATCTAGTGCTATAAACCCTGAGTGCTACCACAAGAAAGTAATTGGAATTAATTTGGACACTGTTTTACTAAATATTTCAAGTAATTATTCTACAGTAATCAGAACATCAGTTCTGATGAAGAATGTTAGTTTGTTTGCTGCATGAAATCAGGAAGGTACTTTGTTCCTACAAATGCAGTCATATTTCTTTCTCTCATGTGTGAAGTGTGGTATTAAGCTATAGCTCATCTCCAAAGTTGTTTGACTTTCTGCTTGTTTTACCTTTAATCATAATTTGATTCACCCAGAAGTAAAAAACAAACAAAATTTTTTTTCAATGGGAATGTTCACGAAAATAAGGATAAAGTATATTGCAAGAGTTTACCTCTTGCTTTCTTATATTTAAAGGGAAAATACTACAAAATTCAACAGCCTGCACACCTGTATTCTACAAACTGCTGATATCATTAATGTAAAGAAATAACAGGTATGGTCTCCTTTTTGTGAGAAAATGTGAGTACTATTTAATTTTCTCTTGAGTACAGTTCATAGAAGTACTCTTTCAAAGATATTGAATCAAAAATTCTGGTCATAAAATTGAGTAGAATTGATTTGTAGAATTGAGTTCCCCTCAACGCCATATTACTAACCCTTCAAACAATGGCTGTATCATTAATGATAACCTACTGCATCACACTATCCAAGGAAATAGATGTAATGAATCTGAGGTGGTACCTCAAGAATGTGTCTATTGAGCATCTGAATTGAAATTGCTGTTCAAAAAGTTTCCAGGCACTCTTCCTGAAGTGTTACCTAAATGCACAGTAACCACTAAAAAGATTTTTCAAGTGATTTTAAAAATCCTTGTAAATAGTTTTATTCAATTATGCTTTTGATCTTTTTTTTATGTAATAATTTCCCTGGAAAACCAGATGGTCAGATTTTGAAAGAGCTTCTATGTCAAGAGCAACTGCACAGATTAGGACTTCCCCACATTAATGAAGAACCCATGCAATTAAATAGTGACTAGTTGTCTTCATTGTTTCTCATAATATATAAGGACTGCCCAGAAAAATATCTACCTGGGGAATTCATTGCCACAGCCCACACTGATGCCCAAACTGAGACATCACTACAAAAAGCTATTGGACAGCTTCTAGGAGGGAAAATCTGTCATGACATTACAAGCAAAGACACATTTGTGCCCTGGAAGTCACATACCACCAGAAACTGTGAGAGGATAGGAGAGTAGCATCATCACATGTTGTCCCTGTTTTAACATCAGGCACTTCCCCAGCCGCTGAAACAAATTCCTATCTGGCCCAGCCCAGCCACACTTACATTCCAAGAAAACATTCCATTGGGGTGGAAATACCTTCTTAGAAATATAACCAATTCTACTTTATCTTGTACATATCAGTGAAACTGTTGAAGTCATCTGACATACACTATTAAAATTACAAAGGTCACTTAAAAACTCTTCACTTACCAACAGCAATAACTGACACCATGGCACACAAAAGGGAGAACCAAGGGAAGAGCTCTGCACACAGGAATAATCTCCCTGTTCAGTCCTGGCTATAGAGCTGTGTCAAAAAGCACTCTTGAGAGCCCCATCCCATTGCACCCCATGCTTTCAGACTACTCAGCAGACTCAGAAAAGATGCAAGCAATGCAAAACAAACCCTTAATGTAAGTACATCAAAGCAGATCACTTTAAGAGCTTTCAGGCAGGCGGTCGATCAGCACTTACACTGCAGACAAAGCTCAACGTGCTCATTTCCAGGAAGTTATTTGGTAACTGCTGTTAAAATGGAGATAGCTCCTGAAGGAAACCATTCATCTGTGGGTGATGCCTCTTGTAAGATGCATGAACCTTAACTGCAGCCAACCCCAACGAGAGGAGAATTTGCTGTCTCAAAGCACACAGAGAATTTGAGCCATTTCCCCCCTTGCCTGTGGGAAGCTAGGGTGCAGGGAAGGAAAGTGGACAGCTAGGGTTAGGAGACAAGATTCAGCTAAGGACTAGCTCAAGGCAGAGGAGCCAGATGCCACCCATCCCACTGCTGGCAGGCAACATCCCATGAGAGGAAGCTGGCTGAGTGACAGCTGTGACCAGGAGCTGCTGCATCAAAGAATGGATTTCCTAGGAGGCCAGGCTGGTGGGGGCAACACAGACTTTTCAACTTTTCCATGTCGTTATGGGGAACAAAACATCTGGGATAGGCACAGCATATTCCATCTTTCAAGC